TATCTATCTATCTATCTATCTATCTATCTATCTATCTATCTATCTATCTATCTATCTATCTATCTATAAATACTTTTTTCTACTTCAGAAATTGTTTGTAGGAAAACATATTGATTTATGGTTTTGGAAATTATATTCTGTGCTTTTAAGACAAAATTGGATTGAAAACCTTTTAGAACTCTCCATTATAGAATTAAAAACAGAGGAGATATAGATCACTAAAAAAATCAATTTACAATTGTTTTCTATTTTAATATTATTCTTTTGCTAGTCTCTTACTCATACATAGAAATCAAATTTAATTTTTCTATTTAATTGATGTTTTCATGTTAAACAAGCAAAAAAAAGTATGGTACAAAGAAAACCAGAATGAAAAAAGGAAGTAAGGTGGGAGGTAAGAGGTTGCCTTTATTTTTATATTCAGTAAAAAATAAAAAAAGTATTTTGCTTATGGCAGCACAATTGGATTTCTCTTAGTCATAGCATTAATAGAATCATGTTAGGCTCACCCACTGCACTAAACCATGGTTTGTTTGATTCTACTTTTGAATAAATAGCTATAGACAGACATTTTCTCTAGACTAGAAACCACAGGAATAGAATTAATATATCACTAAGCCAAGATCAAGTAAGACACACTGCAGCATAATATGCTGCATGAATTCAATCCTAAAACAATATTTTAAGAGATCATTTTAGGCAAACTCTGTTCTGAATTTTGGAATTTCTAACCAAAGATCTATAGATCTATAGATCTCTAACATTGGTCAATCCAGTTTCTGCAGGTTCATAACAACTAAAAGCCATTCCATGCTTTGAACATTTTTTATCATGAGGAAATTTTGCCTAATGACTAGCAGAAACTGGTTGCCAGCTAATGACATTGATCCAATCTGTGCTTTGCTTGTTAAATCCATATTTATATCAACAGGAACAGAACAATATTTAACTTTGATTGAATAATGCCTAGTAGATTTTGTTGACAAAAATCAATACGTTTTGTCTACTTAAATTTTTTTACCACCATAGTGCAAAAGAAAGAAAGATTTTCCTCTACCAATTATTTAATGAAATATAATTCATTTCCAAAATGTCTTTTTAAAAGGCAAGAGAAATTGTCACAATGGAGTGTGGTGTACTTGAACTTGTTGTGGGAACTTGTGGGAACACCATCACTTGGGACTTTCAAGAAGAGATTGGACTGCCATTTGTCAGAAATGGTGTAGGGTCTCCTGCTTGGGTGGGGGGTTGGACAAGATGACCTACAAGGTCCCGTCTAACTCTGATTATCTGTTTTCTGTTATTAACTAATGAAGTAGCCAAGGAACTTTCAAGGAACTTTCAAGGAACTTGGACTTCACTACTGTTCTATATCTAGTGTCTGTTGCCTTCCCATGTATCAGTTAATCTGAAGTTCCAGATTCAATTTAGGAAATGTGGGCAACAAAGGAAGCTCCCATTCTCATTTATGTTGGAGGCACCTTTTAAAGGGCTTCCAAGTTGAACGGATTAGCTGGAATGAATGACGTGAGCTTACCCCATTCTGCAGCAGTTGGGTCTTGAACATGCACTTGCTAACCTCTAACTCAGCTTCCTAACCACATAAGTCACCATGTTCCCCAAGGGAACTTTGAAGTTGCAGAAATACATGTAATAAAGCCATAAGAGGATGCCACAACAAGCAACTAAGCTTAGAAACAACAACAAGAGAAATTTGAAATAAATTCTTAAGCATTGCAATAATAAGTTTGAAAAATGGAAACTTATTTCACAAGTTTAGGAAACTTCCAGGCACATTTCTATCTGGCATTAGCTTTCAAGACAGACACTTGAAGTCATTTGAAGACATTTGAAGGCATCTATTAGCAAGGAAAAACAGCTGGGTGCATTGGAGGATGAACTGAGAGAGGTAGCTGCTTCTGCAAGTACTGTCATTGTCTCTATAGCTAACTGGTAAACAAATTATAGCGCCCTGCAATTAGCTGTATCATAATTCTAATTGAGAAAACAATAATTTATTAAAACTTTATGATGGAACAAATGGGTAAAGCAAGAATATAACCTTTGTTAGAATCAATGTCTCCACATAATTCATGTCAATAAAAAAATGCTATTATCCACGATAGCAAATGCAAGCAGGAAGCTAAAAAGAACTCAGAAGAGCATTTTATCCGGTTTCCTTCCTAATGACAGGTAACCACTTAGCCAGGTCTGTATTTGAAGCAATTTTATTTAAGTCAAACTAAATTGGTCAATTTGAAAATAGCTGAAGAAATGGAAAAAGCAAACAAAAGAAATAGAGGGGGGGGGGGGAAAGTCCACCTAAATGCTGACTTTCAAAGAAGAGCAAGAAGTTACCTCTAACAAAGCAATGCAAAGATGATTACAACTGAATGGGAGACAAAAGTTTTTATTTAAGACAATTACAGAAAACCAAGCTAAAAATTTATGTGATAAAAGCCAAGATAAATATCTCCAACAAGATCAAGCAAAGAGAATGCACTCTGGATTCCATTGATAAACAGTGTGATCTCATGGGATTAAGGAAATGTACTTCATTGCGTGCTCTTTGGAAAGACATCCTCCAGAGTTTCATAGAGTCCTTATGCTAATGACGTTCAGAAAGTCATTAAAACTTGGTTGTTCTCCCAGACCTTGGAATCAGGACATTATGGAGTCCCTATTAATTGAGTTTGTTTTTACAGTGTGTTGAAATGGTTGTGTGGTTAGTTCTTTTTATATGCAATGGTTTCTTATTTTCTGTTTACAAGCTACCTAGAATCATGGCATAGTCAGGTGGCCATGAAATGCAATGAAATAAATTGATTTATTTTGGAAAGTAGAGCTAAAGAAGCAATATTGCAAATGTTCAGAAGAACTTTACAAAAAATATCTGAACATTAATGATATTCATGAAGGTTTAACCAGGTATGATATCCCATATTCTGGAAAGTAAAGTAAAATGGATTCTACAAAATATTGCTAACAAAAAGCTACATTTAAAAAAATATATTACAAGATGATGCACTTAAAATGATGGGTGACTCGGGAGTAAAGCTGCAAGGTAATGGCCCCTCCCTCAAGAAGATAAAAGCCAGCTGTGAAACAAACCTTCTTTGCAGAAGGCAAAGACATTTTGAAACTACAGCCTCATGGACATTCCAGTATCCTGAGTTTGTATTTGAAGATTCTTATTTTTAAAATTATTTCTTGTCTGTTATCTTTTGGCAAGCAAGCCTCACACAGTTTGGCAAGGCTTGTGCTTATCACAGCTAATTATTTTGTAAAAGCATTACAAGGTTTTTATTCCTTTTGAATTTGTGTTTGATTTGTCAGAAAAGGGTGTGTTAAATTGTGATAGTACTGAGTTAATTGACATTTAGTGGTTGTTCAAAATTACGTCCCTGAAAAAAAGGGACATTTTTCACACTTATGACGGTTGCAGCATCCCCATGGTCACATGATCAGAATTCAGTGGCTTGGCAACTGACTCATATTTATGACAGTGTCTTCGGATCATATAATCACCTTTTGTGACTTTCTGAGAAGTCAATAAGGAGGCAAGATTCACTTAACCACTACATTACTAACTTAACAACTGCAGTGATTCGTTATTTATTTATTTATTTATTTGTTTGTTTATTTTGTCAAACAATTATTAGATAACAGGTATAAGTATAAACATGGTTATAAATATATGAAATGGATATGAATAAGAAAAAAAGAAACAATAGGACAGGGACGGTAGGCATGTTTTGGTGCGCTTTTGCACACCCCCTACAGACCTCTTAGGAAAGGGGTGAGGTCAACAGTAGACAGTCTAAAGTTAAAGATTTTGCGGTTTGGGGAAGAAACCACAGAGTCAGGTAGAGTATTCCAGACATTGACAACTCTGTTGCTGAAGTCGTATTTCCTGCAATCAAGTTTGGTGTGGTTTAGTTTTGTATCTATTTAGTGCTATTGTATTGTTTTGGTTGAAGCTGAAGTATTCATTGATAGGTAGGACATTGTAATGTATAATTTTATATACTATACTTAGATCAGACAGAAGGTGGCGTAGTTCTAAGTTGTCTAGGTCTAAAATTTCAAGTCTGGTGGCATAAGGTATTCTACTACGAGT